GCCGGCCTCACCACCCCCGCTGATATCCACGCCACCATTCCCAGTTTCCAGGGGCCGCTGAGGAAGTTCCTGAGTGGGGCAGATGAAATTTCAACAGGCTGCCACCACTCGCTGCCCCACAGCTATACTTCCCCTTTCACCTTGCTGCTATCGCTGCCCACAAACAAACCACCATAGCACCACTTTCGGCGGCGTTGGAGCAGCGCAGCCAACTTCTTCGCCGGCGCCTCTAGGCATGTCCAGGGGCGAGGGAGATCTCAAAAACCCTCGCCCCCTCCGCTGACTGACCCCCCCGCCGCCAGCAAGCCACATCTCCATATCTCCGTTCTCCGCTCTCTGCTCTCCGCTCGGCTCGGCTCCACTCTCCCTTCTCCTTCTCCTTCCCAGCAGCGCCGCCGATCTCCACTCCCCACTCGGCTCGGCTCGGCTCTCGGCGGCGTCGGCGGAGTCGGAGCAGCGCGGCCACATTCTCCCTCGCCGCCTCCGACTCCGGGGGGCGTCCAGGGGCGAGGAAGATCGCAAAACCCTCGCCCCGAAGCCATCCGACCGAATCAGGGGTCGCTGATGGTCGAGCTCCCCTGCAGCACCCCCTCGAGCCCCAGAAAGTCCTCCATCCAGCCGCAGCACCTCACCTCACGACTGCCATCTTGCGCATGCACTTAATCTTCGTCCCATGCATTACTTAGTAAAAGGGGGGAACATGTTATGCACATTTCTCCGATGAAGGTGATTTTCTTATGATTTTTTCCTCCATGGTATCTGGAATCTTCCCACATAATAAAAGATGGATGGAATTCTGGCCACCCATATCTATGTCAAAAGTATTATGGAAATATAGATATACTTCTAATGGGAGCCTTTGTTCAGCCCAGAGGTTCTCAAATTATGGGATGTTGCAAGCAATTTGGAAGAGTTGCAAATAATTTGGGAGGTCATAATTTTTAAAAATCCAATCAGATTTGCATAGGAAATGTGGGAACCCCATCCAACATTCTGGTTTCATCTGTACAAACCTATAGAGCAGAATTTGAGGATTTCTCTGATATAGAGATTAACATGTTTTTATTTATTTATTAAAAATGGCACATTTATTTCATGGCCAACTTTAATGACAACAACAATCATTTGTTTTATTTTTATTTATTTATTATTTTAGGGAGTTGTACAGGCAGTGCAAAATTTGAGCATCACTTGACTAGGCAATTAGACTAGTGAGCTACTGCCAGTATAGACCCATTTAATCAATGGGTCGGTCCAGATTTATTGAACATCAACTCCCAGTATTCCTAACCACTTTGGCCAAAGGAACCAGTCTGTTGTTCTTTAATATAATACAGTGATGTCCCTTCGTGTACATTGCCATTCAGAAATCAACCAATCACGGTCACATCCTCAGTTCCTCCCTACTCAGAGCTTTAGCTATTTAAAAAATTGCTTCTAATTTTGGTATAGAAAAATGCTTGACTCTTGCCAACTTTCAGTGGCCTTGAAGCTTTGGTACACAACGATTTATCAATATCTGATCACACTGAGTCAGGGGTATTGTTTTTCAAAATCTTTTCTCCTGCCTCCTGCCTCCTCCTATTCTGCTTTTTTTTCCCCAGAAGCTCAAGGTCATTCTTCTTCTCCGCTTTTATTCCCACTACAATGATTCTGCAAGGGAAGTTAGGCTGAGGCATAATAAGCACCAAACCATCCAGGTAGATGTTCTATCTGAATATGGATTTGAACCTGCATTATTCTAATTCCAGCCCAACATCATAATCTCTAACCTACTCTATCCCATCGCTGTTTAGACTCGTTCAAAAGCCAGCACAGAGCTTTCTCAGCTGTAGATATCTTCCTCACTGTGCTGAAACATAATTAGAATTATTAGAATTAGAATGGTATTAGAATTATACTAATAGAGTAATTATATTCAATCATACTACTAATTTTTAAATCTTGTAACTACATTTATAAATCAATTCAAAAGAGACAATGGAGCAAATTAGGATGAGGTTCACTAAGATGGGGAAGGGTCCTAGAAATCCTATGTAAAACAGTTAAAGGATCTAACTTTTAAGCTTTTAAGAAGAGACTGGACAGCCATTCGTCTGGAATGCCATTGGCACAGGGTAGGAGGTTGGACTAGAAGACCTCCAAAGTCCCTCCCAACTCTTGCTATTCTGTTATGTAAATATCTGAAGGGCTGTTCCTGAGAAGCGGGAATGCGCTTAATCTCTATTGACCTAGAGGGCAGGATTTCAACCAGGGGATAAAAATTATAAGGAAGAAAGTTCAGATTGCAGTTGAGGAAAACTTTTCTGATTATACGAACCGTCAGCCAGGAGAACAGGCTGCCAGTATGGCAGGACTGGTTCTCCTTCACTTGTTGTTGTTAGTTGTGAAGTCGTGTCCAACCCATCGAGACCCCTTAGACAATGTTCCTCCAGGTCTTTCTGTCCTCTACCATCCCCTGGAGTCCATTTAAGCTCACGCCGACTGCTTCAGTGACTCCATCCAACCATCTCATTTTCTGTCATCCCATTCTTCTTTTGCCTTCAATTGTTCCCAGCATTAGGCTCTTCTCCAGTGAGTCCTTCCTTCTCATTAGGTAGCCAAATGATTTGAGTTTCATCTTCAGGATCTGGACTTCTAAAGAGAAGTCAGGGTTGATCTCCTCTAGGACTGACCGGTTTGTTCGCCTTGCAGTCCAAGGGACTCGCAGGAGTCTTCTCCAGCACCATAGTTCAAAGGCCTCAATTCTTTGGCACTCAGCCTTCCTTATGGTCCAACTTTCACAGCCATACATTGCAACTGGGAAAACCATAGCCTTGACTATATGCACCTTTGTTGGCAGGGTGATGTCTCTGCTGTCTAGATTTGCCATAGCTTTCCTCTCCAGGATCAAGTGTCTTTTAATTTCTTGGCTGTAGTCCCCATGTGCGGTGATCTTGGAGCCCAGGAAAATAAAATGTCACTACCTCCATTTCTTCCCCATCTATTTGCCAGGAATTGAGAGGGCCGGGAGCCTATTCTTTCTCCTTCACTAGAGGCCTTGAAATAGGGTTGGATTTTTATTTTCCAGAGGTGCTCTTCCAGAGATACAGTACTGAGTTGAGAATTGATAAAACATGCAGCTTCTGATATTAAAGATGCTCCCAGATACAACATTTGGGGGAATGATGTTTTTTTTTCTTCCAGAAAATGCTATCTTTCATCTGTAATCATGCAGAAAAGTGTCATACTTTTGATTGATACAAAGACAGGGTGCCCAACAATTTCCTCCCTTATATAATTCTTTTCCTAGGATTGTTCCACCAGTTCTTTACATTTTTACCCACCTTTGGATGAGAACTGGAAATATTTGTATAGGATAGGATATGTACCATAATTATGATCTTTTTAAAGTTTCGGAAGACATGTGTTTATATATATATGCTCACATACAAAGGATATCCTGTAAAGTGCCAGTTTTACACTTGCGAACAGTTTCAGAAGATTATAGCATTAATAAATGTATCAATGAAGCCCAAGTTATCTCTAAATATCTTAAATGTAAGTGTGATAAATCAACTAATATGTTCATATGTTTTCCTTGAGGTAAAGTCAGACATGTTATTCGAGTCTTGAGGGATGATTCAAACTGGGCTTAAATTATAGCTTTGTGAGCTATGTTAATCTGTTTTCTTTAAATATACAGTTCAGTTTTCAATAGCTCCCTGAAGGAATAGAATTCTACCCATGTTTCTGCAGTTCAGGGCTATAATTATTAATAATTTCGGATAAATATTTTATTATGTTCTTATAAATTGAGTCCTGTGTACAAGCAAACAGCATGGCCTTTTTAAAATGGTGTATGATTACACATAGATGTTTATTGGATTTTCACACTAACGTTACTTCTAGTAAATGTCAAAGAATAATCCTTTAATTTCAAGATGACCAAACCTGTGGCGTCATGTAGCCGTTCACTGGATATTTTAGTCTCCACTGAAAGAGGGAGATGTCTTTAGCGGTATAGTGGTGAAGATGTTGGACTAAGACCAGGGAGAACCCGAAGAAGTCTGCCCTCATCCATGAAATCTCAGAAGGGGCTTTGGGCCTGCCCCTCTCTCAATCCATGGGGTTGTCTGGCGGGAAAATGGAGTGGAGAAGAAGATGAACCACTAGAGCATGGGTGTCAAACTCGTGGTGTCATGTTGCCGTCATGTGATATATCGCGACATTTTATCCCCTTTGTGGACCTGGGGTGGGCATGGCCTGCATGTGACGCATCCGGCACATGGGCTGCCAGTTTGACACCCCTGCACTAAAGGAAAGGAAGGAGATCAATTAAACAAACAAACAATATATAGTTAATATTAGACAAATTGGATAGATTTTGCCTAATCTATGATAGCAATACTTCCTGACATATAGAAACTACACGTAATAATAAAAATTAATTGTATCTAATTACAGTCTGTCTGTGGAACACACCGGCAGTCTGAATCCAGGAGCAGCAATAACTATGTTCTCGGGTTCTAAAGCATAGTGGGATTCTGTTTCCATATTTTCTCAAGTTAGAAGTCTGTAGCTGAATCACATAGGCATTTTTGTACACAAATTCTACATTTTCAATAAGTGTAGTGGTGGGGCAGTGGTTAGATTGCAGTATTGCAGGCTAATTCTGCTGACTGCCAGGGGATTGATCCTCACCGATTTAATGTTGCCTCAGCCTTCCATCCTTCCGAGGTTGGTAAAATGAAGAGCCAGATTGTTAGGGGCAATATGCTGACTCTGTAAACCGCTTGGAGAGGGCTGTAAAGCACCATGAAGCAGTATATAAGTCTAAGTGCTATTGCTATATCTGTGTCCCTAAATAGAAAAGGTGACTCTTGCAGATTTGAAGACAATGTGATTTTGAAGACCAAATAATTGCATTTTCAAGAGAAGAGAGAGAGAAAAAATAGAAATCTGCAGACAACAAACTGGTCTACATGATTTCATGTTGGGATTTTCTGTTCTACTTCCAGATAGTTCAGTGATTGCGCAGCCCATGTTTGTCTTCAAGAAGGAACGACCGTGCAAGGTAAGACCTGAAAGTCGTCCCGTCCTTCTGGCATTTGTTTAAGATAATTTACTCGGCGTACGTGGATCCACATGGTGGGTGAAGTGGGATTGCCAGTTTATTTGAATGTCTGTGTCAACCTCAACTTGGAATTGTGCTGATTTCAACTGTTGTCGCTTCTCAGTTGCCACACAGACTGGGGGGGGAGGGGAAGGGGAGGGGAGGGGAATGCCAGTTCCAGACAGCAGACAACAAGAATCCGGTTCTGTGGGAACCAAGGTCGTTCAGCCATCTGGGTGACACAAACTAATGAGGGGAGGGGAATTTGATTCTTTATGTGAAAACCATGGGGATTAATTAGAGTTGGTTTTGCTTTGATTCATGCTGATATGAGGTATCCAATAAAGTTTAGTACAAAGAGACTGGAAAGTTTCACATCTGCTTGCTTGGTTGGGTTCCTCAGTCGGGACCTTGACAGTCTACATAGAAACAGTATCTTCACAAAGAGAAATACTAATTGACATAGACCCCTTTTTATCTTTGTGAATCAACTGCACACATACAAAATATTTATGATAGTGTGATTGGGAAAATATGGATTAATATGATGTCCTATTTAGGTACATCAGAGGTGGGTTTCAACAGGTTCTGAACTGTTCTGGAGAACTGGTAGCGGAAATTTTGAGTAGTTTGGAGACCTGGTAGTAAAAATTCTGACTGGCCCTGCCCCCATCTATTCTCTGCCTCCAGAGTCCCAGCTGATCAAGAGGAAATGGGGATTTTGCAGTAACTTTGCCCTGGAGTGGGGAGGAAATGGAGATTTTACAGTATCCTTCCCCTGGATTGGGGAGGGAATGGAGATTTTACAGTATCCTTCCCCTGCCACACCCACCAAGCCATGTCCACCAAGCCATGCCACGTTCACCAAGCCACACCCACAGAACCGATAGTAAAAATTTTTGAAACCCACCACTGAGGTACATATTTGTACGTACATAGATTCCCCCCCCCATGTTATTCTTCATATAAGCATGAAGGTGCCATCAGGTTTGATTGTTCTTTCTCCTTTAATTGAATTCAGAATAATGTCTGAATTGAGCTCCTTCCAGTTCACGTCACACTAACTCAGGCATCCCATAGTGCTGCCAGAAAAACTGTTTTCACTGAATGCCTAGTATGAATGGAAAACACATATTCATAATTTCCATTATGTAAAGTAACAATAAGATTAATGAAATTTGTTGTGTGTATGGTGAACTGTTGTTCTTTTTTGGCTCAAGAGGAGAAGATATGGTTTCATCCAAAAAAGGTGGAATTATCTTCCGCAGGAGGTACCGTCCAGATGTGTAGGAATTCAACTTTCAGCCTAGCCTTACTAACTAGGAATTAGGGGAGCTGAAGCCTATATAGCAGGGGTGAAATGCTTCCGGTTCAGACCGGATCACCCGATCCGGTAGCGATGGCGGCAGATGGATCAGAGAACCAGTAGCAAAAATCCTTGCCCCCCACCCATGCCCAGCTGAGCTTTAAAAAAAAGTAAAAAAAAAAAAAAAAAAAAGCTGATGATCACGCGGCTCAGCTGGGATCGTCAGAGACTTTTAAAAGCATTTTTTCTACAACCTCTTCGGCCGAAGAGGTTGTAGAAAAAAATGCTTTTAAAAGGAAAAAAAAAAGTTGGCCATGCCTACCCAGTCACATTACCCCCACCACCAAGCCACGCCCACAGAACCGGAAGTAACAAATTTTACATTTCACCACTGCTATATAGCAATAGCAATAGCAGTTAGACTTATATACCGCTTTACAGTGCTTTACACCCCTCTCTAAGTGGTTTACAGAGTCAGCATATTTCCCCCAACAATTTGGGTCCTCATTTTACCCCCCACTAGGAAGGATGAGTCAACTTTGAGTTTGGTGATTTGAACTGCCAAATTGCAGACAGCCGGCTGTCAGCAGAAGTAGCCTGCAGTACTGCACTCTAACCACTGCGCCACCGTGGCTCATATATCTAAGGAACAGGGGAATCTGGCATAATCTCCAGTGTACTTTCAAAGACTTTGATTGATATGGACAGTCACGTAGAATATAAACATCCAACAATCACACTGTGCAAAGGCTCAATGATGGCTTGGCTTCAAGACTACCAAGTGTTGTTCAAAGACTATTACTTCATGGAAAAGCAGGAAGAAAAAGCTATGGATTTGAGCCACTAAAAAAGGCACGTGCAACTTTATGCTGACCGCCACCAACTAATTCCTTTCTTTGGCTTCACTCTTTTTTTTGCAATACTTAGACTTACATAAACAAATTGTTTCTTGCCTAGGAAACTGGTTTAGTTGTACTGGGTCAAGAGATCAGTGACAGGCTTGGCAAAAAGAACTTGACAGTCTGAATGTCCATCCTATCTATTTAAAAAAAAAAGAAAAAAAAACTTGACATCTACAGCTTTTCATTTAAGGTTTAACCAATCTTTCTTTTTGTTTAGAGGCCTGCGGAAGATCCATTGCACAAGACTGAAAACGGTAATCAGGCTTTCTGTACAGAAATCGTTCTAGTCAAACTTGTGGAAGGGGTTGGTTCAGTGGTGAAATTCAATATTTTTTACTACCGGTTCTGTGGGTGTGGCCTGGTGGGCGTGGCAGGGGAAGGATACTGTAAAATCTCCATTCCCACCCCATTCCAGGAGAAGGATACTGCAAAATCCCAATTCCCTTCCACCTACTGGGGGAAGGATATTGCAAAATCTCCATTCCCACCCTACTCTGGGACCAGCCAGAGATAGTATTTTCTGGTTCTCCGAACTATTCAAAATTTCCACTACCGGTTCCCTAGAACCTGCTGGATTTCACCCTGGGTTGGTTAGATCATTAGAACTGGGCCTCAGACTCCAAATACAGGTAGACTTCATCTTACAACCATTCATTTAGTGACCCTTCAAAGTTACAACAGTACTGAAAAAAACAACTTACAACCAGTCCTCACACCCCATGGATACTTCACAACCACACTTGGGACCAAAATTGCTAAGCAAGGTGGTGAGTCATGCTTGATTTTATGACCCTTTTTTGCCATAGAGGTCAAGTAAATCAGTGTTGCCGTTAAGCAAATCATGCAGTTGTTAAGTGAATCCAGCTTTCCCATTGATTTTATTTGTCGGAAGCCATTTGGGAAGGTCACAAATGGCAATCACATGATCCATGAGGTGCTGCAACCATCGTACATACATGCCAGTTGCCAAGTGTCTGAATTTTGATCACATGACCGTGGGCACGCTGCCATGGTCATAAGTTGGAAGGATCAGTTGTAAGTCATTTTTTTTTCAGTGTCGTAATTTCAAACAGTCTCTAAATGAATGGTTGTAAGTTGAGGACTACCTGTATATTACAGGGATTGGCTGGAGTTTTATACGATTATCATGTGTTCGTATCATTCATTAATTTTTATTACAGTCATAGACTAGAACAAAGAAAAACGCTCAATAAATATACAATTAAAAATTCTAGAATAAAATAATAAATAACAGATAAAATTTATGATAAAATCCAGTCTGTCAATTATACATGGTCTAACTATACTAAAATCACAATCCATAAACTGTGTGGCCCATAGTCAGTTTATTACGAAAAGGGAAAGAAATAAGCAGTGCAAAGGATTTGCCACATTTGTTATATAAAATAGTTGTGGTGGGTTTGACACGTGTTTCCGACGAAGCCCCTGTGATGCTTAACATGTGTTCTGTTTTTCTGCCTTTAGTTCCCTGTGGACCCAGAAAACGTGCAAGAGCTTCATATTTTTCTTTTCAGCCCTCTGAGTCAGAGTCCTATAGAGGTAAGGCTTCTCTCTTAACCGTTTGTTTTATATTCCATTTACATTGGTAAGTACAGCTTTCCAAAATTTAGTTTGAAATGTTACATCCTGGACTTAAGCGCTGAATGTCATGCTTTTATTTTTTAACCATTTCAAATAAATGACAGCAGAATGACAGTGAGGGGAAATTATACGTATGTATAACAAAATACCAAAAAACTCCTTACTTGTAATAGAATAGAATAGAATAGAATAGAATAGAATAGAATAGAATAGAACAGAACAGAACAGAACAGAACAGAACAGAACAGAACAGAATAGAATAGAATAGAATAGAATAGAATAGAATAGAATTCTTTATTGATCAAGTGTGATTGGACATACAAGGAATTTGTCTTGGTGCATACTCTATCGGAGTACATAAAAGAAAAGATACATTCGTCAAGAATCATAAGGTACAACACTTAATGATAGTCATAGGGAAACAGTCAATATAAATCTTAAGGATACCAGCAACAAAGTTATAGTCATACAGTCATAAGTGGGAGGTGATAGGAACGATGACAAGATTAATAGTAATGCAGACCTAGTAACTAGTTTGACAGTGTTGTTGGATTGTTGTTGGGTTGTTGGGTTAGCAAAAATAAGTACCACTATAACTACATCAGCATTCAACTATAAATATCTGTGTTAAGATTATGAAATGTAAAATGCTACTGGGGAAAAAAAACACTTAATACTTACATTTTCAGAAACTGTATGTTCCAAGAAACAAGCAAGAACATCATCCTTTATCATCATTCCAACATTTCCACCTTCTCAGCCAGGTAAGTTAAAAGTTGATCTAGAAAGTGAACATATAAAATTGATATGGAAACGTAAATGTTCTTCCTTCCTTTTTTCTTTATTTTCTTTCCATTCCCCCCCCCCCTCTCTCTCATTGCATTTTTCAAATTAGGCCCATTCAAATTAATTTCATTCTTCTGCCACTTTATTGTTCTGACAGAAAAAGGCATATCAGTACTAGACTCCTGCTAAAATAAATTAAATTATTATATCACAAATCCTCTCTGGCTGGCTCCAGCTTCCTTTTCCTTGGTTATCCCCATCAGCCTGCTGGCTCAAAAAATATCTTTTGCAAAGGGTTAGTCTGTATCTTCAGGCTGGTCCCTTCAGTCAATTATCTCTGTAAGAGAGCTTTGATGAGTTTAAATGGACTGGATACTATTCTTGCAACAACAACAACAAAAATCATTAAAAGTGAAATGATTTTGAAATGTTTGTAAGAGAGGAGTAAAATATTCTATGTTGATCTTTAGATGCAATTTTGAAGAAATACTGACTTAATTTGGGTCTTTGAAGTAAGGAAAATATATGAAATACTGATTGCTAAAATGATAAATGAATATTATAAAAAGCTGTTTAGATTTGGAATTTAAGATTTAGGGTGATATATAATAGAATGTTAAATGTTAGAACAAAATGTTAGATTGAATGATAAAAATTGGGTTTAGATCTGTTTTTTCTTTTTCTTCTTTTTACCTTTTTTTCTTTCCTTTTTAAGATGTTAATGGATGAAATTTTGAATCTATACTTATTTTATACCGGACCAAACTTTTGCTCTAAAAAGATATGTTTTTATGTTTTATGTTTAAAAATTAATAATTTTTTTTTTTTTAAAAACTGTTAAAAGTCTTGGAAAAACTTGAGAAGATGCTAGGTATAATATAACATATGGGGAGGCGGGGAGAACACAAATTTTGTTGAATATTTTGGAAAATGTTTGCTTTACAGTAAAGAAGAACAATGTATTCATGACTTCGGGCCTATCAGAAGATTGTATTGATGTGAAAGCAACAGAACAAGGTAGGGAGAATTATTTAAATATAATAATCTTATCCCCGTTTTTTTTTTTTTTTAATTTGATTTATATGCCGCCCTTCTCCGAAGACTCAGGGCGGCTTACAATGTGCTCAGCAATAGCCTTCATCCTTTTGTATATTTATACAAAGTCAGCTTATTGCCCCCACAAACTGGGTCCTCAATTTACCTACCTTAGAAAGGATGGAAGGCTGAGTCAACCTTGAGCCTTGGCGAGATTCGAACCCTGCAGTAATTGCAGGCAGCTGGTCTTAATAACCAGCTTAATAACAGGGTGCCTTAAACCCCTGTGCTACCAAGGCTCATTTGGTGTGTAAAAGCTGGTAGAGAATGAAATAGAAAAGGTAAAAGATTGAGGTAAATTGGCAAAGCATAGATATCGATCAGTGACTGACACAGCTCTTTTCATCAAGTAGTGTTGTACTATTGTGCTGTACTGAACACTGTATCTCCTTTGTATGAGTTTGACCTTATAGATTAGTCCTCAACTTACGACAACAGTCATTTAATAACTGTTCATAGTTATGGTGTAGCCCAAAAAAGGGGATTTACAACCCAGATTTGAAATTCCAAAATCCCCCCCGAAGCAGTCATGCAGTTTAAATGCTTTGGTAATTGGTCTACATTATAGCCATTGGTAGAGCCCAGGGGTGGGTTCTACTTATTTTTACTACTGGTTTGCAATGGGAGCATGTGTGCTCTTCGATCGCATGCATGCACGCTTCTGTGCATGCACAAAAGCTTCTGCACATGCACAGATAATCAATTATGACGTCCAGGTGGGTGGGTGGAGCCTCCCATCGCTTTTACTACCGGTTCTAAAGAACCAGTAGAGCCCCATAGTCACATGACTGTAATTTACGTTTTTGCCACACGCTGGGATTTACCTCTGCCTCATAATCTGCCTATCAGCCCTGGAGCCATTTTCTCCTGACATCTCCATGGCTGCCACAGCGGAGGCCAATCGAGCTGTGGGAACAGGACGGGGGAGGTAGAGATAGCGAGGGGATTGTAACCAAAACAAAATCCTTTCCTCTGAGAACCAAGGATGTATCCACCAGGTGCCAGGAGGTGGGATGCGGGATGCGAGACCAAATGAACTTGGGACTGTGACCTGATTGGACCATGGGATGGAATGTATGGACAGGGGGAGGAAAAATATACTTTTAATTAAGGGGGAAACCCGATAGGGGTTTCCCCAGATGTACCAATAGGACATGCCTAATAAATCTACACTTTGAGGAATATGCCTGCCTCAGAGTTTTGATTCAGTTGGGGGTGTTAACTGGAACCCTGACACTGTCCCATAGCCAACAACGGATTCCCTTAACAATCGTGGCTTTACAACCTCCACAAAAAAGGTCATAGAATCAGATATGGCCAAATGTTGGCCCGCTTTACTACCCATCACCAGTGGTGGTATTCAGCCGGTTCAGACTGGTTCGGGCAAACCGGTAGTGGCAACCTGCGGGTGAGCCTGGGGCTGCCCACTTGCCCTGGCGCTTTGCTGTCCTATTTAGCCACGTTTTATAAGCCACATGCACGCATACAAGCTGCGTGTGAGAGAAAAGTGCATGCATGAAATGTTGGACGCATGTGCGGAAGGCGTGCACGCAAGCGCTCACATTTTTGGTACGCGGCGAACTGTTGGTAAAATTATGTAAAACCCACCTCTGCACACCACGACTTATGACCAAAATTGTGGCTTCAATTACAGTCATAGGCCTACTGCACAACACATGTATAAAAGGTTTGAGATGCAATGATTTATCAGAAGGAACATTTTGTTGCTATGGTGAATGCTGCTGTCAGTCACTCTTCCTATAGAGGAACAACCAGCTCTTCATTTGTCATAAGCCATCAGAAGAAAGGGATGTACAGTAAGGTTTCAACCTTGTGATTGTTCTGGGTATGATTTCAATTTTAGAGCTTTCCGTTGTTGGTTTTCTATTCCAATTATAGCTTTTCGGATATCTGTCATAAAACTAGCTTATCAAGAACTGTGTCCTTGCGTGCGAGCCTTATAGACTGTATGGCAGGCAGACGATTCTGATACACGATGCATGAAAGTTCAGTGCTTAAACATCCATGTGGACGTGAGTCATAAGACTTGATTTAAGCAGGTATATCACTTCTATCCAACTATCTATATCTTCAAAGATGAAAGATTTAAAATGGTGCAGGGAAAATGAGAACTGTGAAATATTTGCTAAACCTGAGGAAAATCTAGCTGCCATGGTCCCTGAGGAAGAATAATAATAGAGATATCCAGGCGCTATAGCAATCACAAAATTCTATTTTTTCACTTGGAAGAGCAACTTTTAAGAAACCCAAATATAAGAAGATTGTCATCAGGAAAGAATAGCATGAATTAAATTTCTTTTTTATATTTTATTTTTCAAGATCTTCCAGCGAGCAACAGACGAAGAGAGGTTTTAAGGCCTGCCAGACTGCAGCCGCCACAGGTGACTACATATAGAATAGAAAAGAAGAAAACTGGTGAAAATCTTCTAGAGGAGAATCATGAAACAGACAATCAGGTAAAATATAATGCACCATCAAGAGTACATGTTCTTATTGTTGCAGCCATGAAGTTCAGTTCATGTGAGAAAGCTTTGAAATATTCCAAAGATGCTTTTCAACAAGCAGCTGAACTTGGTTTTTTTCCCCTTGAAAAAGTTTTGCTTCTCATCCAAGAACTAAAGAAGCTTCTTGGATGAGAAGCAAAACATTTTCAAGGGAAAAAAAACCAAGTAAGTCCAGCTGCCAGTTGAAAAGCACCTTTGGGATGTTTCAAAGCCTTCTTTAGGCAAATGTGTTAGCCAAATCCAACAAAATTGTTTTTTCTGTTTTTTGGGAGAAGTAGTTCCCGTGAAAAGGGCAAATTTGGGAACTTAACAATACAGGTTTCTTACTTCTGGAAGCTAATGTTGTAGTGGGTAAAATAAAACAGACGGGGAAGTTATCACAGTCTGTGTGTTTTAGAGTGCACATGAAAGAAATTTGATTTAATGAATTATTTTTAGATGTCTGAAGATGCCTATATCTCCCAAAAGCTTCCTCACCCATTACAGATTTCAAGCTCTAGCACAACGCAGTAAGTTAATTGAAATCTATTTAAATGATGATGATTGAAAGAAAGAAATATTCAGTCATTTGGTCAACCTTTTCAATTATTTTGAATTATAATTTGGGGTTGCCGCTTTACAACCTGGAAAAGTGGGGCGTACTTTCAGATTTTGAAGTAGAGACAAGGAAATTTGAGAAGGATGCCACCATAAAGAACAAAGGTCAAGTCTTGGATAGTTAATAGAATTATTATAGAGAGAATTTTACGAGCTTTTTTCATGAGGGAGGGAGGGAGGGAGGGAGGGAGGGAGGGAGGGAGGAAGGAAGGAAGGAAGGAAGGAAGGAAGGAAAGCTCTTTTCAAAGTTAGGTCATAATAGTAACAAGGTAAAGGTTAGAATAAACTGGTCTTACTATAAATCAGTATGGTAGCTCAGGGTTACAAAATAGAATGTGCAGGTTGAAATGGGGTCGAAAATAACCCCGGGAGGAACAGTGGCTGATGTCTGACTGTCTATTTGTCTATCTGAGCCTCTCATCTATCATCACTGTTCATAATATTTTATAAGCCATTTAGAGCCTTGTTTGGTTTAGAGCAATGTACATATTTTTGTAATTAAGTAAGTAAACAAATACATATTCCTTTTTTTTTATTCAAGCAATCGATTAACCAAAGACAGAACTGTCTCAGAAAGTGAGCATTCTAATTTTGTATTTGGAGAAAATATAGTAGAAAGAGTTTTGGTAAGTATTAATGAATGCTTTAATACCAATGAATTTATTAATGAATTTAAGTTTGAAGGGTATAGTCATTTGCATTTCCCATTGTTAAATTCAAATCTAGATAATCAGGAAATAACAGTTAAAGAGAGATTTTTCTCAGTCCAGTCATTTCAGACATATATTTCATAATATTTGCAATACTCTTAATGACAATAAATTATCAGTTTGAAACTGACTGCTTATGAGTTTGGCTCTTTCCTAGGCTACAAAAAATCATTTTATTTTAGTATACTATCTAAACAGCATTTGACCCAATAATAAAATTTATATTTATTTCAAAAATTTCTGAATAATCATTTCGGCTGCACCAATCAGCAGGTAATAGCCCAATCCCACCTTATATATTTCACCTGCTATTTTCTTTACATCTGTTGCTATTAAACAAATCATATCTTCAACATTGTTTGGAGTTGAAATGTTCTGTGGCTGATTGCAAGATCCCCAAGAGTGGGAATCTCACCTGGGCAATCCTTAGTGATACCAATAGAAGAGAATATTTGTAGCTCAGGGTTGAAATTAGGGGTCCTTGGTGCTCTCTAAACTTGGTTGTTTTCTCGCAGACATTTCATTACCCAAACTAGGTAACATTATCATTGTACAATGCAGTGATGATCTTATCCAGTTTTGGTAATGAAATATCTGAGAAAAACAAAGGGATGGAAAGGGGCATAGGACACTTCCTTAACTTTTTATCTACACTCTATTGCCCCCTTGTGGTCAGTAGATCCCATTAGGCGCTGAAAAGTCAGTCCAATTCAATTAGTGTTTCCAACAAACAGATCTGCAGGAAATGGGAATGACACACCATTCAGTGTGGGCCAGTGGGTGGGTGGGGCTACATTCAGTGCATAAGACGCACCCAAATTTTCACCCCCTTTTAGGGGGGAAAAGTGTGTCTTCTACTCCGAAAAATACAGTATATTTTATTCTAATAAATAATAAATTTAGAGTCAAAGGGCACCACAATCTATTTACTGTGGATAAAATCTGGATCAAATTTAATTTTTGAAAGAAAATTTCCACTTGACTTATATAAAATAGCAAGATATTTGTAAAAATAAAATCACATTAATTTGCTTTATTAAAGACAGGATAGGAATGTACCCATTTCTCACTATTGTATGAGAAATCATGGGACTGCCACTTACTGCCTTAGTTCATGCAACAGACTGAATTTTAAGAACAGGTTAAACAAACCGCAGTCATGTATTCACATAACCTGCTGTTCCAAAACAAATAAATTATATTATAGACTAATAATGATGTCCTCCTGCACATTATTTAACACAATGTCTGAGTTCTCTCACATACTGAACCACAGATTACCTAATGCTATTTTAGCCGAGCCGAGCTTAGCCTATGCCACTGTGTACATTTACAATGCCTTTCACATGTTTAAAAGTCCGCTCACAGTATTTTTGTTATCTTTCCAGACCTAATTCTATTAATTCAAATCAGATTTTTCTCCCATTTTTCTAGAAACCTGAGAAATCCCCAGAATTGCAGTCCAAGGATATCAGTGAAAAGGAGCTCATCTGTGCCCCAGATTTCCATACCATTCCCCCATGGGCAAGTAGGTGTTGTTTCTTCCAATTTTACGTGGGAGAAGACCCGAATAACCAAAGACCTACATACAAACACCCGCAAAAACCTAGGTTCTGTGAAATCTCATTCACAAGTTTCTGGGCCTTTTTTCTGCTGACAAACTGCAACTCTGTGTTGCTCTCTGGGAGACTCAGATAGCTATTTCTGCCTCTTAAGGCGTCTTCGGTGAGCCACACCCACTTCTCAGATATCCTTCCTGTAAAGGTACAATGGCTAGAAAGAATATGCAATTCTTTCTAGCCATTCTAGTTCAATGAAATCACAATCCACTAGTTTCTAGGCTTTTTTTTTTTTCCTTTAGGCAACCAGCAAGCACCCTGCTGCCCATTGGGAGACCAAGGACAGGGTGCTTGCTGGCTGCCTGAAGAAAAATTTGGATTGCGATTTCACTGAATTAGGGCTGCATAAAAATCTTGGTTTACGTAGGAAGAACCTGGCTAAAGAGAAATACACATAAAGGCCTACGAAAATAAAACAAACACACACACACACACACACACACAGAGAGTATATCAGGGGTGAAATTCAATTGGTTCTTTCCGGATCGTGCAATACGGTAGGGCCAATTGTGCGAAGCTCCGCCCACCAGTGCAGACGTCATATGTCTCTTTTTTGCGATGATTTTCAGTCTCTGCCCATGTGCAGAAGGCTTTATGCATGCGCAGAAGGCTTTGTGCATGTGCAGAAGGCTTTGCACATGCACAGAAGGCTTTGCGCATGTGTGGATGCGCACACATTTGCGAACCAGTAGGGAAGGTAAGTGAATTTCACCCCTGAGAGAGAGAGAGGGAGGGGGAGAGAGACCAGTTAATCCATCCAATCTCACCAGCTTCATTGCCACAGAGGTGTCTAATTCCATGTTAATAATAGCTCATTTTGAATTGAAGTCAATTTGGAGATAATGTATTTAATATCTATAATATTCAATACTGTTGTAAGACCTTCCTCCCATAGCAATTTCATTTTCTCTTCCTTATTTTCTTGTGAAATAGCACCTCATTTTGCTAAGGGTTCAACGCTAGCAGAATCAGCTGCTGCTTACCTGTCTAGCAAAACAGCACAAAGATATTTATTGGAGGAAATAGAAATTACAACAGGAGAAGAAGAGGAACACAATGTATTGCAGGTATATCTATTTATTTATTATTTATTTATTAATTAAATTTTTATACCGCCCTTCTCCCAAAGGACTCAGGGCGGTGTACAGCCATACTAAAACCACGTATACCTATAAAATTTAAAAACAGTTTAAAATATATTAGAAATTTGGCCCTTATATTAAAAACTACAAACACCCAATTAAAATTCATTTTCTAAGCCAGCCCAGCCTGTTGAAACAATAGAGTCTTAAGGGCACGGCGAAAGGTACGTAGGTCGGGGATCGTGCGCATCTCCGGGGGCAATTCATTCCAGAGGGCAGGTGCCCCCACAGAGAAGGCTCTCCCCCTGGGTGTCGCCAGTCGACATTGTTTGACCGACGGCACCCTGAGGAGTCCCTCTCTGTGGGAGCGTATTGGCCGGTGGGAGGCTATTGTTGGCAGAAGGAGATCTCGTACATACCCAGGTCCTAAGCCATGGAGCGCTTTAAAGATGATGACCAACACCTTGACTCGCACCTGGAAGACCACCGGGAGCCAATGCAGCTCACGCAGGAGAGGTGTTACATGGGTGCGCCGTGTCGCTCCCATAATATCTCCCTCTGAACAGTTGTTGATGTACTGATTTAACACAGTAGCTTTATGGTTTTTGTAACAGATATGTCAATGGGAGTTAGGCCTGCTGCTGATTTTTTTTGAATTGAAGGCAGTTACTGAATGAGGAATATTATCTCATTTTACTGTCAGTAATTTATTTTAGTTCATTTGGTAACCACAGGTAATCCTCAATTTATAACTACTGTAGTTGCTTATTGGTTATTCACAGTTATTCACAGTTGCAACGGACTCAAAAAAAGTTATTTACATCCTGTCTTCAAACCTACAACTGCTGTACCATCCCCATAGTGACATGATTATATTTTGGATATTTAGCAATTGGTTTGCATTTGTGACTGATTGCAGCGTCTCTCAGTCACACGATCATGTTTTATAACTCTTTTTGCCATTTTTTGGCAAAAACTGGCAAACAACACCCATTGGTTAAGCTAGATTCAGATTTATGATCATGCAATGTGCTTACTGAATTGCTTGATGACTATTTTAAGAACTGTTGTAAAAATTGAGTCCAGTCACATGGTGACTCAACTTACAACCGCAATGTCTTATGTTCAAAATCCGGGGCTCAGTTGGGTTGTAAGTTGAGAACTAACAATAGTTGGTATGCAACATATCTGTCATGTGTCCCAAAGATGCTTTTTCAAGAGGCAACTGGACTTTCTGGTTTTTCTTTGAAGACATTTTGCTTCTCATCCAAGAAGCTTCTTCGCCTCTGACTGGATGGTGGAGAATGGAAGGGCTCAATTCAAAGCTGAAGAAGCTTCTTGGATGAGAAGCGAAACGTCTTCAAAGAAAAACCAGAAAGTCCAATTGCCTCTTGAAAAAAGCACCTTTGGGACAACCATGACCTGGATGACTGAGAATCTCCATAGATGTATCTGTCATCTGTTCTTTTTCTTAAACATAGCTTCCTCAAAAGTTATTTAATTGTAACTATCAATTTTCACAGTCATCTGAATTCCAGAACAGTTTCTCAGGAAACTGTTTATCAAACTAGTGACAAAGAAAATGGAAATACAGCCATGAACACTAAAAAGCATCAAAGCCACTCCAATTCATTTTGGGTCCTAAATTACACAAGACCAATTATATCTTCTTATTATATTTATTATATATCAATTATATCTTCTAAGGGCATGGTGGCTCAGTGGCTAAGACGCTGAGCTTGTCAATCGAAAGGTTGGCAGTTCAGCGGTTCGAATCCCTAGTGCCGCGTAACAGGGTGAGCTCCCATTACTTGTCCCAGCTTCTGCCAACCTAGCAGTTCGAAAGCACGTAAAAAATGCAAGTAGAAAAATAGGGACCACCTTTGGTGGGAAGGTAACAGCGTTCTGTGCGCCTTTGGCATTTAGTCATGCCGTCCACATGACCACAGAGACATCTTCGGACAGCGCTGGCTCTTCGGCTTTGAAACAGAGATGAGCACCGCCCCCTAGAGTCGGGAACAACTAGCACATATGTGCAAGAGGAGCCTTTACCTTTACCTAATTATATCTTCACATGTTTCTGTCTTGTACGTGTGTTGTTGTTTTAAAAAAATCAGGTGGAAATAAAAGCAATTACTTAAACGCTGGGCAAGATAATGTTCAGGAAACGTATTTTCAATATCCATGTAAATCCTTTTGTAGTTGTCTAAATCATAAAACTAATCCAGTTGTCTACAAGTGCAGCAGTTAGAACTGCCCAGGTTGGAAGCTTTTGTCAAAGATCAAATGTTATGTTAACCAATTGTCTGAGTCAGCAGGAAAGGGGCTGCCCCCTCAACCTTTTGACAGTAGACAGACAGACAGAGTCACTGATTTTTACTAGACTTAGGCTGGAGATGTGCAGAAACCCTCTTAGCTGAATCTGCATATGAACTTCAATCTGGATATAATTTATCATTCAGCTAGTGATCTGCATAGTGAAATCTGCTTTTTCACACACTGGATTAGCATAATCAGTCATGCTTGCTAAGTAAACACGCTCTTAGAAAAGAAATCCTTTTTTTAAAAAAAATGAAAATTACTCGTACAGCAGGATTTTTCTAGTCTTGCCGTAAGAACAAGAAGGAGATGAGAATTTTGCAAGTTCACTAATAACCATCTTCCTCTAAGAAGAGATTATCTATTTCAATTTCTGATAAGAAATTCTATTTTCCCCTTCTTTTTAAATGTTAGTGTGCAGTATTCAGTTAAGATCATTTAGTTGTCGTTTTCTTTCTTTTAATTGATAGCAACTATAGAAATAGCCCAGAAGCCAGTTGACCATTGTTATGCAACATTTGCTATCATAGAAATAATGATAATGATGATGATTTCTTCTGTCTTAGATCAACTGCAGGCTTTTTTTATTTAATAAAGCCCTATTATGCTGGACTGAAAGAGGCAGTGGCTGTTTGAGACTTAATGATACCTCCAGCAATCAGCATGGAATGCTTCAGTCAAGACTGGGTAAAAATTAATTTTGAAATTCTATATATATAAACATAAGGCTTATATACAGTATATATATCATATATATATGATTCCTGGGAATCAAGAATTCCTAGGAATCATATGGACACAACTATATATTTTTTTTCTGGCAACAAGACCAATTTTGGTTTATCATTGCTATTCTTTAGGATTTGCTTTGACTTCTCAATCTATCTTACAGTTTGGTACTCTCTGGAGGTCTCCCATGTACTCATTTATAATAAACTCACTAATAAATGAGTTTATTAATAAGTTATAAACTCACTTATTAAAAGGATATGCACATACAATCCACTTGCAACCCATTTGCAAAAACGTATCACCAAAAGAGTAAATATTTTAATCTTAAACATTTAACATTTAACATTTAATATTTACTTAAACATTTTAGCAGGGCTTTCACATAAAAAAGATTTGACAATTAATCAAATGAGTTTTAATTACTCAGTTTGTATAGGATTCAACCATAGTTCTGAAGACGAGTGCAAAGACTAAAAAGTCAAGATTGTTGACATCAAACAGTAGCCTTTTGGAAGTCCTAACTTGAGCAGTAGGGAGCCCTGCCTTCCTAGGGAAGTTTTTAACAAGAGATTGGACAACCATTTGTCTAAAATAGTATATAGGGTTTCCTGCTTGAGCAGTGGGTTGGACTAGAAGACGTCCAAAGTCCCTTCAACTCTGTTATTCTGTTCTGTTGTTATTAGTTTTTCATCTCTTAATCCTTCTCACCATAGTTAAACCCATCTGGCTTGGATCTGGATTGTTATATTTTTCAGGTTTATTTTACAATTAAAATGGTTTGCCAAGTTTGTAGAGAATCACTGGCCAAGTCAAGGAAAAGGAGGGCAAATGAGCCAATCAACCAAACAAATAATTGTAAACCACTGAGATTTAGAATGTGTTATAAAGCACTATAAAGCACTATATAAGTGCAATTGCTATTGCTATGCTGCTATGATTGGTCAATACAATTATGTACATATACAGTAGTGGCCAAAATTGTGGAAACCTTTTGGGAAAAGTGTATTTTTGAGGTTTGATGGCTAATAACACCACTTTTTTTGGAGTTTCAACATAATCATAATCCATTGCTGGAATGGCCTGGGAATAGACCAGACCCTAACCCAATTGAAAATCTATGGAGCCGACTAAAGAAACTTGTTAGTCAGAAGCGACCCAGCAATAAAACCCAGTTAATAGAAGCAATCATTCAATCTTGGTTTCATATTATAACAGCTGCAGAACTAAAAGACTTGGTTCACTCATGGGAAGACGTTGTAAGGCTGTAATTCATGCTAATGGTTACCCAACTAAGTATTAACTGACAGGATCATTTTTGTATATCTCGTTTTTTCTATGGTGATAATTTTTGTATATCGTTTTTTCTACATGTTTCACTTTTCTTCTTTATACTATAACTGCTACTCTAATAGCAAATTCTTCATAAAAGTTCTTGCATTACATTCTTGATTAAATTATCTTTCCATTGATATATAATTTTATGGTACTACTCCCCCCCCAAAAAAGTTGTGTTATTAGCTAGTTTTAGAAAATACACTTTTCTCAAAAGGTTTCCACAATTTTGGCCATAAGAAAGATATATTTTCTGCAACTACTTTGGAGGCTGCTAAATCCAGATTCTTATAGAAAATCTTCTTTGTCTCTCCCTTTGGAAAAAAACGGAAGCCCTTTAGCATCCCATGAGAATGAGTAATGGAAATTCCCAAAATTACTAGGAAAAATCTGCTTCAGGTTTGACGTGTTTCAATTTCCTCGCCTACTTTTTTTGATATTGTTTCTCATGCTTGCAGTCATGAGAAATCAAGGAAGCATGAGGCTTATTCTTAACACCAAGCTGTGGACTCAGATGGTGATAGAAAGAGCAAACCGGAAGAGTGCGTGCATCACAGCAACAGATCTGGAGGACGGATCCGTCAAAGTTTTCCTAATACAAGTAAGAATACGAATCCCATGGTTCCTAGACTCTGGGATTAAACCTGAATTGTTGGAAAATAAAGGTCTGAGATATTCATTGGATGGGTGGTGGTGATGATAATGCTACATTATCAACATTGATAATGTTGATTATCAACACTGTCAAACTATTTTGATTATCAACACTGTCAAACTATATCAACCCTCAACACTGTCAAACTATTCACTGTCTGCATTACTATTACTATTAATCTTCTCATTGTTCCTATCACCCATCTCCTCCCACTTATGACTGTATGACTGTAACTTGTTGCTATATCCTTACAATTTATATTGTTTCCTAGTATGATTTTATTGCTTATTTGTACCCTGTGACTATCATTAAGTGTTGTACCTTATGATTCTTGATGAGTGTACCTTGTCTTTTTATGTACACTGAGAGCATATGCACCAAAGACAAATTCCTTGTGTGTCCAATCACCCTTGGCCAATAAAGAATTCTATTCTATTCTATTCTATTCTATTCTATTCTACATTATGTGATCCTAGAAAAGGATAAGAAGTTTAAGTTTTCCATTTTAATTGATTTACACTTTGATTTTCAAGGCATTTTTTAAAAAAACTATTAGTTGAACCAGAAGATATTTCCTGAATTTTTATCAATATTCTGCAGCATTCCTTTGCATGCTATTCCAAGATATTCCTGACCTTCCTTTTTTTGGGACAATGAAATATTGGCAAGGAGGTACAGATGCCTTCACTTAAGAAGCAATAAGACACACAAATAAAAATATATGTAAAACCCCAGTGACATTTTTAGATGTCTTACTTGTTGCTCAGTTTGTATATCATAAAACTGCTTTGTGGAAAACCTGAATAGTGGTAATTAGTATACAAAATACATAAATTAACAATAGAGTCTTTTCTTTAAAATAATCTGTTGGGCTAAGAGCTGGTTAACACTATCTAAGGAATGTTTTGCTGTGTTGCTCTAAGTCAGTTTTTCTTAAAAAGTGGCCCTCTCAAGGGCCTGCAAAATCAAATTTGTTTGCCAGCCTCTGTTGAGAAGTAATACAATATTAGAATCCCATCAAACAGTTATGAGGCACAGTAGTAGCAGCAAATGCATCAATTTTAATTTTTAATAGAGTCATCCATACAAACTAAAGCTCTTTTGGAGGTCTCCTCTATAATTTTTTAAAAATTTTGATCTTGTAAAGCATTACAAGTTTGCTGCTTAAAAGTCTCTGAATCACTCAGGAGTCAGTCACTTCCTCTTCTTGCTAAATCAGGAGTCAGCAACCTGTGGCTCCAGAGCCACATGTGGCTCTTTGGGCCCTCTGCTGTGGCTCCCTGTCAGGTGATCCCACCATTGACTGGCCCCACCCCTCGCCCTCCCCTCCCAGTCACTCCTCGCCTGGCCTGAGAAGGTAAGGGCGACGGCAGGGGATGGAAAAGCGGCCAGGGCAGAGACAGAAAGATACAGAGAGGGGGCAGGGGTGAGAGAGAGATATAGAGAGATACAGAGAGAGAGGGAGGGAGGGAGGGAGGAGAGAGATATGTCAAAAGAATTGTGTGGTTCCCGGTGTTTTTTAACAACTGGTTCTCTGCCTTAATGACCAGCTGGATAGGCATGGCTAGTGGGGGGGGGGATCATGTGACTGGTGGAAGTGAGTGACATCGAGTTTGCCACGCCCACCCAGGTTTTGTGGCTCCCAGTGTTTTCTTTTCTGTGGGAAATAGGCCCAAATGGCTCTGAGTATTTAAGGTTGCAGACCCCTGTGCTAGATGGTTCTTTTTTTGTTGTTGTTGTTTTATTTATTTTAAAATTTGTATACCGCCCTTCTCCCTGAGGACTCAGGGTGGTGAACAGCCAAGTAAAAGCATAAACTACAAACATTAAAATACAATTAAAAGATATATATAAATTTGGCCCCATAATTAAAAACAATTAAAAACATTTTTAAAAGTGTTAGGCCAGCCCGGCTTGCTGGAAAAAGAAGGTTTTAAGGGCACGGCAGAAGGCACCGAGGTCTTGGATTCTCCTTATCTCTGGGGGCAGCTGATTCCAGAGGGTAGGTGCCCCCACATAGAAGGCCCTCCCCCTGGGGGTCACCAGCCTACATTGTTTGGCTGATGGCACCCCGAGGAGGCCCTCTCTGTGGGAGCGCACAGGTCAATGGGAGGTTGTTGGTAGCAGCAGGCGGTCTCGAAGATAACTAGGTCCTATGCCATGGAGCACTTTAAAGGTGATAACCAACACCTTGAAGCGCACCCGGAAGACCACTGGGAGCCAGTGCAGTGTTGCTTGTTCACCTTTTCATTGGTGCTCTGGAATACAACACCTCATGGATCCATGCTTTCTGTCTATCACATAGGCCAGCACAAAGGACATTGAATCCCTCTATGCAGCCATCCATCACCGTCTGGTTGCTCTGAGAAACTTTACAAAGCAGGAATGTGGCGTAAATCAAGTGGAATACAAGCTAGATGTTCAGCCAATATCTTGTGACAGTGATGATGAAGAGAATGAAAAAAGATCTCCAGGGAGCAACAATAGATCAGGTAAAAAAAAAAAAAAAGCTTTCATGAGGTTGACATAAACTCTGGTTCATGCCAATTATAATTCAATATTTACTTTCCCAGAATATAACGGGCTAAGTTCACTGCAGGAAAAATTGGCAAAAATATTTCTGCTGCTGCTTAGTTCGCAAATCTGGTTGGATAATATAATGTTTAAGGAGGAGAAAGCGCATGTTTCAAAGGTTAAAAACTCACACATCTAAAACATGAGGTTCACAAGATGGCAGAGTAAAATTGGAAAAGGAATTGTTATGGGATTGTCTGCATTATTCTTAAATATAACATATAAACATACCTACAGAGAGACAGATAAACACAGAGAGAGAGAGAGAGAGAGAGGGGGAGGGAGGGAGGGAGGGAGAGAGAGAGAGAGAGAGAGAGAGAGAGAGAGAGAGATTTACCACAAGAAAAAGACAGGCAGGAGGTGGGAAGGGAAATAACACTCCAGATTTAGTAACTGGACAGAATAGGAACTTCTTAACATTGGGCAAACCTGTTGGACCGGTTTGCTCTGGTACTTCCAAGCTGATAGGCAAACACTTGTGTTATATTGATATGAACATTCAGCACAGTAATTTGCAAATAATCTCACTATAGTTTTGAGAGAGGTTCTGACTCTTTCTCCACCTCCAGAAACAGTTAAGGGTTTACCCTTCCAATCTCCAGGGTCTTCCACAGGAGCCAGCAGCTTCATCTCTCATACCTTCTGCAGCACTAGTCCACAACTATGTGAGCATTCTCACTGCTGCCCCTACCCCCTACTCTGATCCCTCCAGCTAGTCCATAGGGAGGGTAAGGGAGCAAAGCAATGGTAGCTAGGTGGTTGCAACCATTTTGGAGTCTTTTGCATAAGAAGAAAAAGGGGAAAGTACTCTTCCTCCAACCAGTTGCTGAGCAAGGGGATGGCAACCGTACCATGTAAGAAAGGAGTGAGTAACTAGGACAGTGATGGCGAACTTTTTCGACACCGAGAGCCCAAACTGGAACATTTACTACCCACAGAATCGGTAGTAAAAAAAATTGAAACCCACCACTGGTACATGCCAATGTCTAATCAATACCGAGGGGTTAGCCTAAGTTCTCAAAAGTGGAATTCTTGCTTGAGCAACTGCTCCAGAAAAATATTGTGAAAAGAGTTGGAAGTTTTTCTCTGCAACCATGAAAGGAAACTCCCCCTTCATCCTATCTTCTGGTTCTTTAGAATTCCTGCCCAACTCCTAACCCTATTATTCAGTGTTCTATGTTGGTATGTTCCCACTATCTTCCCAATTGTCCTAGCATGGCTGACTCAGGAATTCTGGGAGTTGAAATCCACAGGTCGTAAAGTTGCCCTAGTTCTGTGATGGCGAATCTATGGCACGCGTGCTAGAGGTGGCACGCAGAGCCCTCTCTGTGGGCACATGCACTGTCATCAGCTGCTCTTATGATTTCCGGCATGTGCATGCATGCCAGCCAGCTGGTCTTCACATGTGCCAGACTGCCGGACACCCGAAGACCAGCTGGCTGGTGTACATGTGCATGCTGGCCCCCTGGTCTTCGGGTTTCCGCTGGTCTTCGCACGCACCCGAGCGCCAGAAACCCAAAGACCAAGTGGCCGGTGCACATGCTGGTCTTTGGGTTTCCGGCGCTCCAGCGCGTGCGAAGACCAGGTGGCTGGGGCCTGTGCGATCTCTGAAAACCCAAAAACCAGGTGGACAGCACACGTATGTACACCAGCCAGCTGATCTTTGGGTTTCTGGCACTCCGGCACACACGAAGACCAGCTGGCTGGCATATATGCACATGCCGGAAATCATAAGAGCGGCTGGTGACAGTGCATGTGCCCACAGAGAGGGCTCTGCGTGCCACCTCCAGCACGCGTGCCATAGATTCGCCATCACAGAACTAGGGCAACTTTACGACCTGTGGATTTCAACTCCCAGAATTCCTGAGTCAGCCATGGTAGGACAGTTGGGAAGATAGTGGGAACATACCAACATAGAACACTGAATAATAGGGTTAGGAGTTGGGCAGGAATTCTAAAGAACCAGAAGATAGGATGAAGGGGGAGTTTCCTTTCATGGTTGCAGAGAAAAGAACTTCCAACTCTTTTCACAATATTTTTCTGGAGCAGTTGCTCAAGCAAGAATTCCACTTTTGGGAACTTAGGCTAGCCCCTCGGTATTGATTAGACATTGGCATGTACCAGTGGTGGGTTTCAAATTTTTTTACTACCGATTCTGTAGGTATGGCTTGGTGGGAGTGGCTTGGTGGGCATAGCAGGGGAAGGATACTGTAAAATCTCCATTCCCACCCCACTCCAGGGGACGTTTACTGCAAAATCCCCATTTCTTCCCTATCAGCTGGGACTCAGGAGACAGAGAATAGATGGGGGCAGGGCCAGTCAGAGATGCTATCTGATCAGAACTGGTCAGATCCTGCTGAAACCCACCTCTGGCATGTACCCGTGCAAATGAAAAAGTCTCATTAAGCCTTAAAGTATCGTTGGAGTTCTCCCATCTCTAGAAATCAGATTCTTGAGCACCTATTATAGCCACTTGCTTTAACACTCGGTTTTTGGCCTCCACTATGCACAGCTGCTGTACCTATAAACAGATATATAACATTTGGCATAACATTTCCAAGGATCCCTTTGTAAAAGAAACCTGACTTGGATGTGTGCTAAACCCTGGAATTTCTTACTGTTCAATAATTGGGTTTTCTGTATAACAAAATTACTTTAAATTCTTTAAATACTCTTGGCAAAATAACTGAGATTAGATTACCAGTAATATTTAGATTGTTAATCTCTGTTAAATCAGGACTTTTCTAAGAGATTCCATAACTTCAGGATCTGCTTTTTTGCTTTCATGCACCATACTCCGAAGTTTGCTTTTTTTTAAAAAGTGCAATGTTCAGGTTAATAACTTTTTAATTACCTTGAATATATTTTAAAGGTCATTTCTATTAGAATCCATTATGCACTTGTGGTTATATCGATCTGTTCTAGGCATTGAGTATTGCCTGCTATAAATAGTTCTTACGGATAGCAAAATTGCTGACGTATAAATATAATTGACCGCTCACTGGATACTATTTAACAAAAATGGAGGAGAAAAGATTGATAGGAAATTGGATGGCTGCAAAGGGCAGAAGGAAGCCCAGAAGGTTGTACCAAGTCATCCATCACATAGGCAGAAAGGAAAACAAAACAAAAGAGGGATGAACATTATTTCATTATGTAAGATATATTATTGAATCGTTGTAATTGATGAAATTGGGTTGTGGCTTCCTGTTACCTTCAATAAATCCTTTCTATCTATAGTTCCTTAACGTCTTGTGAACTTTCCCAAGTGGGGTGAAGCCGTGGTGAAATTCAAATTTTTTTACTATTGGTTCTGTGGGTGTGGCTTGTGGGCGTGGCAGGGGAAGGATACTGCAAAATCTCCATTCCATCCTTACACCTGGGGGAAAGATAGTGCAAAATCCCCATTCCCTCCCCACTCCTGGACAAAGATACTGCAAAATCCCCATTCCTTCCCCACTCCTGGGCGAAGATACTGCAAAATCCCCATTCTGTCCCTACTCCTGGGGGAAAAGGAGCCTTGGTGGAGCAGTGGACTAAAGCGCTGTTAAATAGCACTTAGCTGCCAGCTGCCTGCAATTATTGCAAGTTCGAATCTCACCAGGCTCAAGGTTGACTCAGCCTTCCATCCTTTCGAGGTAGGGAAAATGAGGACCCGGATTGTGGGGGCAATAAGCTGACTTTGTATAAAAAAGAACACCGCTTGCGGGGGGGCAAAAGCCCTACTAAGCAGGTATATACATAAGTATGAAGGCTATTGCTTAACGCATTGTAAGCCGCCCTGAGTCTCCGGAGAAGAGCGGCATATAAATCGAACCAATAAATCGAACCAATAAAATACTGCAAAATCCCCATTCCCTCCCCACTCCTGGGGAAAGGGTATTGCAAAATCTCCATTTCCACCCCACTCTGGGGCCAGCCAGAGGTGGCATTTGCCGGTTCTCCGAACTACTCAAAATTTCTGCTACTGGTTCTCCAGAACCTGCTGGATTTCACCCCTGGTGAAGCCTAACATTCAGAACACTTACAGGGAGAATTTATACTGTGGTTCCAATTAAACTTTGCTCCAAAATCCAGCCCTCTGTGGTGTAATACCTTCTTATAAGTGTTTATAGTGAAGGTGTCTTATGGACAATGTGACCATCAATCAAGCTATCACACTAAACCCATTGTGCAATTGAATGGCTTAAATCATGATTATGCAATGACTTTTATATGTGCACGAAGAACGAGGAAACTGAGGAAATACTTAGGTTGTGGTGCTTGAAGGAAATACTTGCAAAACCTCATATGTTGAAATGTTTCCCTGTGATATTGGCCCCAGTTTTCCTAGCAGAATGAGCATTTCCAGAGAGCAATGCAATTAAACCTTCTTCTTCCTTGTCCCAAGATGGGGGGCGGGGTTCTACTTACCTTTACTACTGGTTTGCAATGAGATTGCGTGCTTGCGCACTTCTGCTCATGTGCAGATCGACCACAATGGCATCTGGGTGGGAGGGTGGAGCCTCCCACCGGTTTTACTGCCGGTTCGCAAGAACCAGACCGAACTGCGGGCAAACCACCACTGCGCAAGATGCATTAGTACTGTCTTCCCTGATCTGATACCCTGGATTTAGTGGGACCACAACAGAAAGCTTAAACAATTAGAAGAGCATCAAAAGAGCAGTGTTGAAGTACCTTGCAACAGGATGTGCATAGAATAATAGTATTAATAATAACAACACTGGCATTGACGAAATCACCACCAGTCAATTGAAAATGGTGGCTTTACTTGGAAAGAGCTTACATCTGGACTGTTTTTTTTTTGTTTGTTTGTTTGTTTTAAAATTAGATTTATATCCCGCCCTTCTCCGGAGACTCAGGGCGGCTTACAATGCGTTAAGCAATAGCCTTCATACTTTTGTATATTTATACAAAG